TCAGCGATTCCCAACCTGTGGTACGCGTACCCCTAGGGGTACGCGATAGGTTGTTTAGGGGTACAGAAAAAAGTTAGTTATTATGGCAGAAAAAATAATATATTATGTATCACAAACTAATAGTATTAAAAAATTATTAGGTAAAATATGTTCCTTGCAACAATCACAACTTCATTATACATTTTTTCTTTTAGGTTTTTTTTCTTTAATTTAAAGTTACAATATGTAAAATTAACAATACGGTTACTCACTAAATTTCTTAAATGAGGGGTACAATCTAGAGATATGACATGTCAAGGGGTACAATCTAGAAATATGACATGTCACGGGGTACGCTAATGAAAAAAGGTTGGGAACCACTGATCTAAGGGGATATATATAATAGATTTGTGCATAAGCTAATTAACCAAAAGGGGAAATATTTTCTTATAAAAGATTTGTTTGGGGTCCTCTACTAATTGAAATTTAACTGGGCCTGATGAAGCTATATAACGCGCAACTACCTGTAACATAAGACAGGCTATATCTAAAAATAATATATTCAAGAAAGAAAATATAATTTTTTAAAGTTATATTTTATTAATTTCTTGTTAGTAACTTATGCANTTAATTTCTAAATGTTGGTTAATGAAGAACATATGCCTCTGTGCCCATCCTTGAATACGCCCATGCATTACTGTAAAACAATTTAAAACATTTAAAATGCATAAAATTTTAACGCAAAAAGTAGTAAAGATCGAATAAATGCTTTGAAAAATTTTAAAAAAAATTATTATTTTTATTATTTAAATTAATTTAATTATAAATTGAACGGATTGTTCTGAGGTCGAGAAAAGTCACGCGTTGTATTCACTGGAAATACGATACATACGTCATCGATTTAAACTGACTTTTTTTCCTCAATGCACCCACCTACAATACAAAATAATAGTGTCAAAGAGAATAGTTGAGGATGTTAAATACAGTAGTATTTATTTATTATTATTTTTTTTTTTCTTACAGAAATTCTATCGCGAAACACAATATCAAACTTCAAACGGGGATTGAAACTTCTTACAATTTACAAAAATGTACTTTATTATTTAAATTATTTTAAATTAGTTCAAACGTGTGAATTAATAGAATTCATTCCATCAGTTAAAAGAGCGACGTACTTCCTTGAAATCGTCAACTCCCTACTTCCTTCTGAGTTATGTCCGGTTGAATATCCTGTCTGTCGTGTTACTTAAAAATTCGGAAAATTTCCAAGCAGATTTAAAAATAAAAAATAAAAAAACGTTTAAATTACTAACAGAAATTTATCGAATTTAATATTTATTCATTATTAAATACAACAAATTTTGCATGTAATATAAAGATATATAATTGTTTTATTTTGTTTTTTAACCGCTATTAAAAATTTATTTTAATAAAGATTTAAAAAAATTAATGAAATTTAAGTTCTTAACAGTACTTAAAGCTATTTTTTTCGTATTATTTTGGTGTATAAAACGATCGTAATTAAGATAATAACTATAAAAACTACAAGATTCGGAAGGAAATTAAACGTGTAACATTATAAAAAATTTGTATATGAAGTGCGATGTTTTAAAACGTAATAAATGAATTTAATTATGTTTTCTACAAAGCTTTATTTTTTAAATAAATAACAATAAAACTCATAAAGATTATCAATTAGATAACGTCTTTATCAACAGATGGCGCTAAGCGTAAAATTTATTTTAAGCCAACCAAAACTAGAAAAAAAAACCCACAAAAAATATATTTTATTTATTTATTTTTCTTGATTCTTTTACGTTTGTGTTGCGTTTATATATTTTAATAAAAATAATAAATAAATAAATAAAAATTATACAAATTATTAGGGTTACTTAAAAATAATTTATACGTACTGTATATCTAAAACGATTAACAATAAGAATAATGGAAGCGTTGTTTTATTATATACAGAATCCAGACAATTAATGTAAAAGAAACCCTTAAAAAGTATCGACAAACAAAGATTGATTTTGTAATTTATTTTTCTTCTTCTCCCTTTTTTTTTAGATAATTTAAAAAATATTTTTAAATGAATTTTTATTATTTAAAATTAAAAATGGCGGAAGATAAAGGCCGATATGTATATACGTTTATATGTATTTGTAGGGAAGAAAGCACTTAAAACGATCAAAGAAAAATCATCTCGGAGAAGCATTTGGTTGATTACGCGCCTGCGCTGATGTCAATTTGACATTACTGTGTTGGGGAAAAGCACAGTTAGCTGGGAACTGTTTGACAGACAACATCATGACCGGTCCCAGCTGTCTAATACCCGTTTCCATTCAAACTACGGATTACAGTGCTAACTTCAAGCGCTAGTGTAGAAGAGGTGTGTAGTCGGGTGACTGTCTAACATCTACAAACCAACTGTATCTTGTTAGCGGATAGTGCGGAATATGGCGGAAAATGACGTCAATCGCCAATTGTCGAGTCTCCATGATGCTGGACCATGGTAAATTTGCAGTGTAGTTCCGCTAAGCATTTATTTAAAATCGGCACCAGTAAAAATCGATCTTTCTAACATATTACGAAATATATATATATATACAGGACTAAAAAGATCATTTGTGGATTTATTATTGTTATTATTATTTTTATTTTTTTATTAAAAATCTGTGGATACCTGTAGAGTTTTTATGGGATTGATTGCTCTGTGGATATTGTGCTTGCGGCCGCGTTTCGCCGTTAAGTAGCATTCAAGGCGAAGGTAACCCTTGAAAATTAGCCATGGGATGTGCTATGAGTGCAGAAGAGCGTCAGGCTTTGGCAAGAAGCAAGCAGATTGAAAAAAGTTTAAAAGAAGATGGTATCCAAGCAGCAAAGGATATCAAGTTATTATTATTAGGTGAATGTTTGGATAATATACATGCCAACTTTTCTTTTATTTATTTTTTTTCTTTTAAAATTTTTTTTCTTGGTAGAAAGCGAGATTTATTCCAAGTAAAATTTATTTCAGGTGCGGGTGAATCCGGTAAAAGCACAATTGTCAAACAGATGAAGTAAGTAAAAATCTCACTTTTGCCATTCTCTTAAATAGCAGATGTTGTAGATGCGGGAGAGTATACCGCCATTTTGCGGTACTCGATGGGTGTGGTTGGGAGACTAGCTCGATGAGAGTAATGTTTTTGCAGAGCAACTAATTATTTTTATAATAAAAACAATACGAATAATAATTTTATTCTATATCTTTTATAAAGAATCCGATTCTTCCCTTCCAACTTCAATAATAGAAAAATCTACCGACTTAAGATTATTTAAATGTCAGAAAAAAAAATATATATATATAATCTATGCTTTAATTATTTTATGTACAATACGAAATATTTTGACGAATGTAATAATTTTTTTTTTCTTAAGTAAATTTTAATTATTATTATTATTTTTTTAATTTAGTCGCTTCTAACCGAAAAATAATTTATGTAAGCGATGACGGTAGATCGTTTTTTTAAGTAGTATCAGTGAATAAAAATTTTAATTCAAGGGCTAATTATCAGTAGTACTTGT